CCTTAAGATTCCTCGTCTTCAAATGTTGCTTCAGTCCCCGCCACGGACGGCGCTAGGGGGGTTAACCGAATTGATCAAATGCGGATAAGATGGAATGCTGTGTAAAGATGTGTGCAGGAGGAGGAGGTGGATAGGTAGGGGGGAGGAGGTGGGGGGGTGAGAAAAGGGGGGGAGGAGGAAGTGGACGGATGGGGGGGAGGAGATTGAGCGACCCGTTGAAGGTGTTTGAATATGTTTATATTATAAGTCTTAATATTTATTCACACATATCAAAAACATGCATTGGATATATTACATTGTATTGATACATTAGTATGGTTCATCGTCTGCTACTGAAGGAATTTTTTTTTTAACGTTTTATGGATTCTCCATCTCGAATTCTTAAAAAAAAAACATTTGAAGTGTTGCAAAGGCATTACTACATATTTCAAGAGCGCTGCTCCGTATGTGTTGGTCGGTTGCATGCAAGGTGCAGAGACAGCAAGAGGACGGATCACCAAGGTCGGTGAGGGGCGGCCATCACGTCTTGAAGCCTGTAGGGCGAGGCGGGCAGCCGCGCAATGCACATTGAGTCCTATCCCAGCTGGCCCTTAAGCGGAGAATCGCCAGACGCAGGTAGCAGAAGGGGACGATGGAAGTGGTGTCTGAGGAGGGGGAGGGGGGAGGGGGGCCGGTAGGTGGTGGGGGAGCTGTATGGGGGAGGGGTGGGGGAGTATTATGGGCGTGGTGGGGTAAAACGGCGTCATCCCGCCTGCGTTCCCAATCTCGCTCTGCTCGACTTGAGGTCCGCGGCCGGTGAGCCCCAGGTCTCCCACCGCACTGCAGTTTGCACGGCCTCAAGCTTTCCCTGCGAGGAATGCAGTTCGTCCCCACATAGTCTCCTCATCCGGGGAGATATTCCTGCGTGGGAGGGTACTCTTTACCACACTGCAGTCACCCCCTTCCATCCCTCCGCCCCAAGCCTCGGCGCCAGCTTCCCATGCGAGCAGTAGAACTCGTTACCACTACAGAGATTTCCTGACAAGGAATAGAGCTCGTTTCCACACTGCAGTTCTTCCTCGGCTCGAGATTTCCCTGTGAAGAATGGAGTCGAATTACAGTTTCTCTGCGAGGAATATTGTTACCACAGTGCAGTTCCTCGGCGAGGAATGAAGTCGTTACAACAATGCAGTTTCCCCAAGCTAAGATTTCCCACGCGAGGAATAGATGGGGGTTAGTGCTAGTGCACCGGTCACTGTGCCCATTAACGCTCCTCCTGCCATGACGAGCGAAGGGTTTGTATGAATTCCAGTCAGTCGGCATAACAAAAGTAACATTTGTCCTCTCGTTCAACTGCGAGAGTCCGGCGTTGTGTGGCTGCGGACTCGCAAGCAGACCTTCTCCAAGTCCTCCTGACTGAAAATACGGTAATCATAAATCTCATAATACGTGTTCAAGCTCCCCCCAGCACCATTACTTGCGAGACGCGCAATCAGACAGGACGTTCATGTACTGCGTTTTTGCCAGGTGGATTGAAGGCACATAATGGTACCCACCACCTCCCTAGGGGCCGTAATAACACCGTGAGCCACCATCACCTGCAGGTACTGGGGACACCTGAGGGGTGGAGGGGAAGGAATGGCGGGGGAGGGGGGGGGGGGAAGTAGGCAAAGGCAGGGGAGCGTGGGAGGGGAGGAGTGGGAGGCACAAAATGCAGGACCGGGTCCGCAGGGAGGAGGTGCAGGTGTAGGGAAGGCGTGTGTGTGTGGGGGGGGGATGGGAGGGGGGGAGGCAAGGCTGGTGGGATAGCTTACGTAATGGTAAATTTCAGGTGATAGGTTGATACTCCAGCACTAACATATATACATCTTCAGTGAGATAATTAATGTACACACACACACACACACACACACACACACACACACACACACACACACACATACACATACACATACACATACACATACACACACACACACACAAAGACAGAAGAGTAAAAGGAGACATGATAACCACCTACAAAATTCTCAGGGGAATTGACAGGGGTGGACAAAGACAAACTCTTCAGCACGGGTGGAACACGAACAAGGGGACACAAGTGGTAACTTAGTACCCAAACGAGCCACAGAGACATTAGAAAGAATTTTTTCGATGTCAGAGTAGTTAACAGATGGAATACATTAGGCAGTGATGTGGTGAAGGCTGACTCCATACACAGTTTCAAATGTAGATATGATAGAGCTCAGTAGGCTCAGGAACCTGTACACCAGTTGATTGACAGTTGAGAGGCGGGACTAAAGGAGACATGATAACCACCTACAAAATTCTCAGGGGAATTGACAGGGTGGACAAAGACAAACTCTCCAGCACGGGTGGAACACGAACAAGGGGACACAGGTGGAAACCGAGTACCCAAAGAGCCAGAGCTCAACCCCCACAAGCACAATAAGGCGAATACACAGAGATAGAGAAACACGGGACACAGAGAGGAAATATGATATAGATATATTAGTATCATCAGTTAGAGTGAGAGTTGGGAGGAGGTGTCATTTGTTGTATGGGGGGCGACAGGTTGCCTGCAGAAGCACCCAACATCCTCTCGTAACTCACCCGCCACTGGTGCAGCTACCACGTCTCCCCCACCCAACCCACCCAACCCCACTCCACCACAACCTAAAGCACTGCTTAAACAATGTCGACACCGTACCCTTTCTGGGGAGGTCTGTTGGGATATCGACGTCATACCCTTCTGAGAGGTCTGTGAAGATGTCGAAACCCCATAATTATCTGAGGTTTTCATTGTGTGTCGACACGATACCCTCATGGGGGAAGGCTTGCTTGTGGTCGACACGATACCCTCATGTGGAGGCTTCCTTGTGGTCGACACGATACCTTCATGGGGGAGGCTTCCTTGTGGCCGACACGATACCCTCATGGGGAAGGCTTGCTTGTGGTCGACACGATATCCTCATGGGAGGCTTGCTTGTGGTCGACACGATATTCTCATGGGAGGCTTGCTTGTGGACGACACGATACCCTCATGGGAGGCTTGCTTGTGGTCGACACGATACCTTCATGGGGGAGGCTTCCTTGTGGCCGACACGATACCCTCATGGGGAAGGCTTGCTTGTGGTCGACACGATATTCTCATGGGAGGCTTGCTTGTGGTCGACACGATACCCTCATGGGAGGCTTGCTTGTGGTCGACACGATATCCTCATGGGGGAAGGCTTGCTTGTGGTCGACACGATATCCTCATGGGGAAGGCTTGCTTGTGGTCGACACGATACCCGTCTGGGAATATCGACAACTGTTGTTTTTTTTCCAGTAAAATGTTTGCGCATCGATGTGGCAGTTGTTAGGAGACCAATATTCACTTTTAATTTTATTAGATAGACCACAGTGACAACATCTGTATATTCTGGGCACGTGTTCAAGATACCTAAGACAAGACACTTAAGTTCAAGACACTCTCAGAGTAAACGGCAGTCAGTGAAACGTCAGCTAGTTCGACTTGAGCCGCTAGAATGTAAACTAAAGCGTAGATTGAATGTTGCGTCTCAGTCGTCGATAGTTACTGGTATGTCATCATACCCACTGTGAAACATACCCACGGTGAAACATACCCACGGTGAAACATATCCACTGTGAAACATACCCACGGTGAAACATATCCACTGTGAAACATACCCACTGTGAAACATACCCACGGTGAAACATATCCACTGTGAAACATACCCACGGTGAAACATATCCACAGTGAAACATACCCCCACGATGACACATATCCCCTTTGAAACGAGCAGTTTCCACGTGGAACTTTAGCTAACGCGTCGACTTGAAGTAGATCGTGAACATCACGTGATAAATCGACACCTCGGATGAATGGGATGAAGTTGCCACCTCGGTGTTTACTGAAAACGGGAAGTTGTTTTCAAGTAAGCGTCGACATCATGTAGTGGTATGCAAGGGATAATGATTCTTAAATGAGTTAAAACTATTGCTTGCTGTTCACGACTTGGGCCAAGTATCACCCCTCAAAAAATATTGTTAATAATAACAAAATAATTGATGTTCCAAGTATAAGCTAAAAAAAAAATAAATAAAGTTCCCTTATCCCTGGTGTGTGTGTGTGTGTGTGTGTGTGAAGCGTGCGTGCGGGTGCGCGCGCCCACTCGAGAGAAAACAAACATAATGGCTGACAGTGTTGGCAGATGGAGCGCATGGCCTAGCAATCAACTCACACTTAGATATAGACAATGACTGATATATTACACTAGGTGTAGGGGCTGCGGGTGCACCAAGGTCACACAGGCGCACTTGACTACTTGAACAAGCCCTTGTGGGGGGGGGGGGGGTGGGGGGATGGGGGTGTATATAACAAACCCCCCCACCACCCACTCGGGGGTTGGGGTGTATATATCAACCCCCCCCCCACCCCCACCCACCCCCAACCCTCTCTCAGTGTTCACAATGTTCACACATCTCATCATAAATATAGAGTTATGTAGGTTGTCCACTTTAAACAACAACATTTTGTTCAATTTTTATTTTGGTCTTTTTTGAAATTCTTCACTTGATGATGTTCTCATGCATGATCATCACCTTTTATGGTTTATTTGCTGAGTCTTCATATTATTTTTCCTGCTGTTTCTTCTTTTCTTGTTCTTCTTATTTTCTTATTTTCTTCTACCCTTCTCCGCCTCAGTTAATATATTCTATTACTACATATCTTATTACATTATTACTTTATTTTCATGTATTATTCTACCTCTTCCTTATATACTTTTTCAACTTTTCTACTTTCTTCTTGTCATCTAAACTTTTTTTTTTTTGTAAATAATATTAGTGATATAATTAGTGCTATCATTATTATTAGTATTATTGTTTTGCCATAGTCCCAATATTATCCTTGCTAATATGATAATTATGTATATACCAATCTTATTATAAGTGTAGTGTATGTAGTAGAAGTAGTGTATATATGATCGATATTATCAATACTGTTATGGGATTTTCAG